ACCCCAAGAAGTCTGAAACACCAATCAGAAAGAATATATGTACCCCTATGTTCATAGCAGCTCTATTTACAATAGCTAAGATCTGGAAACAGCCCAAGTGTCCATCAGTAGACGAGTGGATGACAAAGCGCTGGTACATATACACAGTGGAGTACTACACAGCTGTAAGAAAGAAAGATCTCTTATCCTTTGAGACAACATGGAGGGACCTGGATACCATTATCCTAAGCAAAACAAGCCAAGCAGAGAATGACAAATATCACATTATCTCACTTATTTCTGGAATATAATGAACTAAACAAACTGATGAACGGAATAGACCCAGAGTCATAGAAGTAGGGTACAGACTGACAGTCATCAGAAGAGGGGGCGGGGGGAAGGAAAGGGATAAACCACAGAAGTTTTATGCATGTACGCATAATTGACGAACATAGACAACAAAGCCTGGGGACGGGGTAGGTGGGGGGATATTGGAAGGAGGGTGTCAATGGGAGGAAAGGGAGAAACATCTGTAACAAAAATAAATTTTAAAAAAGGAATCTTACACATAAAAGCTGTGACCTAGCATGTAGTGAATTAAATTGTCAGGAGGAAAAAACCCCTACATTTCATAGCATTTTATTTATTTATTTATTTATTTATTTATTTATTTATTTATTTATTTTTTCTTAATAGAAGTTGGAGACATTTATTATTATTTTTTATTTATTTATTTATCCTCACCCGAGGACATTTTCCCATTTTTTTTGTTCAGATAGAGCAGTTGGGACAGAGAGAGAGAGAGAGAGAGAGAGAGAGAGAGAGAGAGAATCATCGTCGTGAAAGGGACACATCGAGTGGCTGCCACCCTCACGAGGTACATGCCCTTAGCGGGAACCAAACCCGGATCTCTCTGGACCACAGGCGAATGCTGTAACCGCTGAGCCGAACCGGCTAGGACATTTCATAGCATTTTAATAAAGACAATCAGCTCAAGAAATCATATATTCCTTTATTTTTCCAATACATTTCCCCAAAGATATTCAGTGAAAATACCTTGGAGTAAAAATACAGAAGGTATCACTGAAGCCTATACATGCAGGAGACCCAGTAGTACTTTCTGTGGAAATTTATGGTGGCAACAAAAAAGTAAACAACAGACCTTAGTGTTTCTCTCAGGTGTGTTATCAGGTGCAGAGTGGATTTTGCATTTACTTGTGTAAGAGCTTGTTGTGAGAATCACATAGTGTTTAAACCACGATGTGCATTTTACTATTAACTGTCAAACATTCTCATCATCGGATTTAGTGATCATTTCATCTTTAAATCATACAGAGAAGAGTCTCCTCTCACACAGTCAGTTGGGAATATTCTGGGACACTTGGATGACTGAAGAAGCTACCAAATTGTCTCGTCGGCTTCTTCAGTCCCCCTGTGATCACACTCCCCACACTTTAGCAGCATCCAACCTCCTGTTATTATCCAAAGCATTGTGGTCTCCCTTTCGTCAGAAACAGCACACCTATTGCTTCTGTGCAGAGTTTCTCATTCGCTGCATAACTCCAATCCACCTTGTATCATCCCACCAAATCTTCATTCTTCTTATCAGTTTTCATAGACTCCTTTAAGTAGGACTAATCACTCCTCTCTCTTCCTTCAACTTTGTTCAAACTTGGCCCCTTAAAATGTGGGCAGAGGACATAAACAGAAACTTCTCCAAAGAGGACATACAGATAGCCAACAAACACATGAAAAGATGCGCAAGGTCACTCATCATCAGGGAAATGCAAATCAAAACTGCAGTGAGATGTCACCTCACTCCTGCCAGAATGGCTGTCAGTAAATCAACAAACAAGGGCTGGCAAAGACGTGGAGGAAAAGGAACCTTTGAGCACTGTTGGTGGGATTGCAAATTGGTGCAGCCACTACAGAAAACAGTACGGAGTTACCTCAAAAAACTAAAAATAGAACTACCTTTAAGACCCAGCAAGTCCACCTCTGGGTATTTATCCAAAGAAATCTAAAACACTGATTTGAAAAGATATATGCACCCCTATCTGTGTTCATTGCAGCATTATTTACAATATCCAAATATGGAAGCATCCCAAGTGTCCATCAATAGACAAATGGATAAAGAAGAGGTGGTACATATGTACAATGGAATATTACCCATAAAAAATACGAAATCTTGCCATTTGTGACAACATAGATGGACCTAGAGGGCATCATGCTAAGTGAAATAAGTCAGACAAAGAAAGACAAATACCATATGATTTCAGGTATGTGTGGAATCTGAAAAACAAAATAAATGAACACACAAGACAGAAACAAACACACAGATACAGAAAACAAACTGATGGTCAACAGATGAGGTCAGAGTCTGAAAAGATGCACACACTCCTCAGGTTTCAGAGGGTTATTCTCTGAAGGGGCTCCCTGAAGCCGCTACCACTGGGTCTGAGGTCGGGGGAGTGTGTGCTCCCCTTTCTGACCGGGCCAGGGAGCGGACATTCCGTAGCACCTCTGCCTAAACGTCGTCAGTTTCTTCACACTTAGGTCTTGGATGTGTTCACTCCGGATATCATTACCAGAGTGGGGGTTTGTTCACTTCTACGAAGCTGAAATAAGGAGTGCACATTCTGTTCTGAAGTGTGGACATAGTTGCTAAATATTGTTTTGTTTTGGACCTTTGGGGACTTTAGCTAAAACTAAGACAGAAAGTTATCTAACAGAGGCGAGGTGCTCTCAGGCAAAGAGCTGTGGAGAAAACACCCCGAGTTTCCCATCTTCCTGGAGTGGAATTTGAGGGCGTATAAAATGGCCGTGTCTCCCCAGTGGGCAGAAAGTTAGAACTCGTGGTCCGGCTCAGTCTCTCTGCCCTGGAGAGGTGGGCAGGACAGTCCTTGGGGTGATTAGAAGAAATGCTTCCTTCGGTGGATCACTCGGCAGTACAAGCAGTCAGTGTGAACACAGGTTTGAGGACAGTTCAGAGCCAAGACTAAGCTATCTAGGGACATTGTGGGGATCAGGAAAGAGCCCCCTGGGCTCTGTGCAGGGCGCTGACTGGAAGCAGGTTCAGGCTATGTTGCAGCCCAGCCCTGTCCCCTTCGCTCAGCACCATGGTGTGCGTGTAGCATTTCTTTCTTTTGAATTTTTTTCTTTAAAATGAGTGTCTGTCAACATACTGAGAGCACTGTAGTGAATTTTTCTTCCTAGAACACTTTTAATCATTTAGGATAATAGTTTCAAAACAAACAAAATAACCAGATAGAACTTTATGGTAAATATCTATTAAGAAGACTCATCAGTGAAGAAGAAAAATTGAGAAGTCATTCTCATCTCTATGTCGTCATTAGATGGATCATCGTGTGAGAGAGATCTTGGAATTGAAGATTTTCAGGCTCGTGCCCCAAAACAACCACCCCTCATAATGCCACATGCCGCTGCGTCTTCAATGAAAGACAATGAGCTGTCATGAAAAGCAGTTCTGTTAGTGACCTGGGGCATGTGTTTCCAAAAGGGAAGTTAGTTTGAAGTTGCTACTTCTTGATAGAGAGGCCTTCTTAAGCACATCCGTAAACCCTTGATTACTGTGTCCATGTATATCCTGGGACCTGGGGCAGCGTGATTTTCCTGTCTGATGGATGCTACCTTTCTCCTTAAGTGTAAATATACTAAACCCAAGATCCTTGTCACTGTAAGACCTAGAGATCATTTCAATAAAATGTGTGTACATTTTGGTCAGTGTGTTATCACATTCATATCAAACTTCACCGAGGCTTTGCCCTGATGCTCTAATGCAGCCGCTCTCACCAGCGCGCTGCCGGAATGTTTGACCTCTTTTCCCTTAAACTGTCAAATGAACATAACACCGGCCAACACAACGGTAGCCATCTGGTGTGACGAAATCAAAATGACAGGCGACCCTCGTTTATCGCGGTTACTCAGTTCCAGACTCTACTGGGATAAATGAGTTCCACCAAGTAGGATTCTTTATTCAATCGTGCTGTGACTTTCGTGGCTTCACTCTGCCGTTTTTTGAATATAGTATAGAAAAATCACGAAAGTCGAAGCTCGAAGTGGCGATGGAGAACCGCATACCACTTTTTGATTGTGAAAATAGTATTTTGTCCCTACCCGATTTTGTATAATTGTGTAGAAAGTCTTTATATAGCATTGTTAAAACATCAAGTTGTTTAGAATTGTGAGGTTTTCTATCAGTTTTATCTTATTAGAGCCCTGTGCTCCCTAGTCCATTTGCACTGTTACAAGCATTGGCAATTTGGATACAGAATTCAAAGTTGTAAATAACACTGAGGATGTTGAAGGCATGCCCGCCAGTTCTCTAGCTAAGAAGTACTCATGAGTGAAAAATTAAAGAGCTTGTAGGACCTTTTTGATTCATTTCTGAAATATGACAAGAATGTTCCTTGGTGAGAATCTCTCTTCTATTGTGCTGATCATTTGATAGGAATTTTTCAGTCTGGAAATTCATGTCCTACCTTTGTTGGAAACTTGCTTAAATTATTTTATTGACATTTTCTCCTCTTTTATTACATTCTGAGACTTCTCTTAATTTGATCCTCTGTTTTTTTATTAAAACATTTTTTTTTCTTTTCTAGATATCCTCATCAAAAGATATCCTAGATATCTTTTCTAGATACCTTCTATTTTTGCTATTTTATTTAAATTTGTAATAGCTTCTTTTATTGTCTTTCTGTTTCTTTATAGAATTCAGATCTTGATTACATTCTATAGATGCAGTAGTTTCTTTTATTTTTTCAGAAGTCTTCATTTTTTATCATAGTCTATGTTTGCTCTAAGTTAATTTCTTTTTCTACTTGATAGGTCATTGTATCAGTCAGTGCGGGAAATAGATAAAAACACTAGATACTTTAAGCAGAAAGGAAAACAATATGGGATGTAAGTGATTGGAAAAGATTATGAGAAGAGCTGGAAGGGCAGGAACAATGCCTAGAACACTAGAACTGACCTCCTTTGGAAGCTTCAGTGTCTGAGCCGTAACCGGACTGAGTTGGAGGAAACTGCATAGCTGCAGTCCAGGACCAGAGCTGCCACTGCTGTTGTACGGACAACTGTCTCACGACACCTGCAAACTGGAGAATGGACTGTTTCAGAAAAACTTCACAGACCAATATCCCCTATGAATATAGGTGCAAAAATTCCCAATACAATGCTAGCAAACCAAACCCACCAATGTGTAAAAGGATTAGTGTCATCGCCAAGTGGGGTTTGTCCAGGGAATGCAAGATTGGTTCAGTCTAGGAAAGTCAGTGATGTTATACACCATATTTATAGAATGAAGTTTAAAAAAAAACTATATGTAGGTCCTTGCTTTTCATCACTTCAAATATTTCTGGCCACTCCCTTGCCCAGCTGGTGTGGCTCAGTGGCTGAGCATCGACCCACGCACCAGGAGGTTGCTGGTTCAATCCTGGTCAGGGCACATGCCCAGGTGTGGGCCAGATCCCCAGCGGTGGGCATGCGGGAGGCGGCCAGTTGGTGTTCTCTTTCATCGGTGTTTCTGTCTCTCTCTCTCTCTCGCCCTTTCTCTCTCTCTAAAATCAATAAAGAAAATAAATAAATACATAAATAAATAAATATTTCTTGCCACTCCAAAAATAAAAAATAAAAAAACCTATAGTCATCTCAATAGGTGCAGAAAAAGCATTTGAAAAAAGTACGCCACTCTTTCATAATAAAACACTCAAACCATCAATAAAAGAGAGCTTAACTTGATAAAGGGACAAGAATGCCCGCTCACCACTTTTATTTACCATTGTACTGGAGGTTTGAGCCAGGGCACTTAGGCATGAAAAATAAATAAAAGGCATTTGGACTGGAAAGGAAGAAGTAAAACTATCTCTTTGTGCAGATAACAGTCTTATAAATAGGAAATCTTAAAGAATCCTAAAAAACAAAAAGATCTGGAGAGCTAATAAACAAGTTTAGCAAAGTTACAAGATACAAGAGCAATGTACAAAACTCAATTGTATTTCTGTACACTAGCAATGAACAGTCCAAAAATGAAATTAAGAAAACTCCATTTTCAATAGACTCAAGGAGAACCAAATGATTAGACATAAATTGAACAGAGGTAGTGCAAGACTGTACACTGAAAACTATAGAACATTGTTAGAAGAAATGAAAAAAAACAAAAACTAAGTAAGTGGAAAGACATTCCATATTTATAGATCGAAAGACTTAATATTAAGACAGTAATTTTTCCCCAAATGACCTACAGATTCAATGTTATCTCGATCAAAATCACATCTACCTTGTTCTGCAGAAATTGATGGGCTGATTTAAAATACATATGGAAATGCTTTTTTAAAAATGCTTGATACTCAGCATAGCCAACACAATCTTGAGAAAGAACAAAATTGGAGGGAGGACTCAATTCCTGATTGAGTAATGTGTGTGAAATAAACATAAGGACAGAAAATCTAAAAATTGCACAAAGATGAAGAAGGTAGCCCCAAATATTTTCTTCTTTGATATATTTAAAGATGCATTAGTTAGACCTAATTTGCATCCATATTTGTTTGGGTTATTTCTGGGCTCTCAATTCTGTTTAATTGGTTTGTGTATGTTTTTTCAAATACCATACTGTTCTGATTACTATAGCTTTGTAGTATAGTTTGAAATCAGAGTCTGATACCTCTAGTTTTGTTGTTCTTTTTCAAGATTGCTTTGGGTATTTGGAATTTTTTTTCTGGTTTCATACACATTCCAGAATTATTTGTTCTAGTTCTGTGAAATACACCATTGGAATTTTGATAAGGATTGGACTGAATTTATAAATTTCTTTGGGTAGTATGGACATTTTAATAATATTCTTTCAACTTATGAGCATGGAATATCTTTATTTCTTTGTGTGTTCAGTTTTTTTTCACCAGTGTCTCAGTTTTCAGTGCACAGGTCTTTTACCTCCTTGGTTAAATTTATTCAGAGGTGTTTTATTATTTGATACAATTGTAAATGGGATTTTTGTATTAATTTATTTTTGAAAGTTCATTATTAGTGTATAGAAGTGCCACAGATTTTTGTGTATTGATTTTGTGTCCTGTGACCTTACTGAATTCATTTATTCTAACAACTTTTTGGTGGAGAGAAGAAGTCATTTTTATTAGGATTTAAGCTGTTCATTTCCTACTCACGTGCCAATTTGGATAAGTGAATCTTTTTGGTCAAAGAAATGTTTCTGTGGTCCAGTTTCGGTCTTTTTTATTTTTTTAAATGTTTTCATTGATTTTTTTTTAGGGAGAGAGAGATAGAAATATTGACATGGGAGACCTACATCGATTGGCTGCCTCCTGCAAGCCCCCTACTGGGGTTGAGCCTGCAACCCAGGCATGTGCCCTGACTGGAAATTGAACTGGGACCTCTCAGTCCATGGGACGATGCTCAATCCACTGAGCCAGGCTCAGTCTTTTTTAAAAATCCTCACCTGAGAGGATATTGTTTTATTGATGAGAGACAAAGACAGAGGGAGCAGGGCAGGGTGGGGGGAGCATTGATCAGTTACTTCCAATATGGCCTCAATAGGGGATCAAACCCAAAACCCAAGTTTTTGCCCTGAGCAGGAACAGAATGTGGGACTCTTCAGTGCATGGGATGATGTTCCAGCCAACTGAGCCACTTTGGTCAGGGCCTATTTTAGCCTTATTTAGTATTTTTCCTAATTTTAATCAGGGTTTGCTGATTTCTAATTGTGTTGCTGCTATTTTGCTGATGGCTCAGTTTATTGAATGTATATCAGGCTCAGTTTATTGAATGTGTAGAAGAATTTTATTTTTTTAATATATATAATTTTATTGTTGACATTATTACAGATGTTCCCCCTTTCCTCCCCTCCCTTTCCCCCCTCAACCCAGCCCCTACCCTGCCCCAGCCCTTTACAACACTATTGTCTGTGTTAATGGAATATGTATTATAAGTACGGATGTTTTTTGGTTGCTCCCTTCCAGCCCCCCTCCCCTGCCTCCCCTCTGAGACTTGTCAGTCTTTTCCATGCCTCCAACCTATTTTGTTGGTCAGTTATTTTGATTTTTTTTTTTTTTTTTTAAATTATATTTTTCAGATAGAGTGGGGAGGGGGAGAGAGAGAGAGAGAGAGAGAGAGAGAGAGGAGAGAGAGAAACATCGATGTGAAAGGGACACATCGAGTGGTTGCCACCCGCATGACCCAGCCAGGGCCGGGGACAAACTGCAACCGAGGTACATGCCCTTAGCAGGAACCGAACCCGGGTCTCTCTGGACCGCAGGCTGACGCTCTACCGCTGAGCCAAACTGGCCAGGGCGGTCAATTATTTTGTTCATTAGATTCCACATATAAGTGAGATCATGTGATATTTGTCTTTCTCTGACTGGCATATTTCACTTGTAATAATCTCCAGAGACACTTTTTTTTTTTTTTTTAATTTGGGTTTTTTTGTTTTTTTTTAAGCCTCACTGGAGGACATTTTTGCATTTATCTTCAGATAGAGCGGGAGGGGGTGGGGGGAAAGAGAGTAACATCGATGTGAGAGAGACACATCAACTGGCTGCCACTCACACAGCCCCATCCGGGCAGGGACAAACTGAAATCGAGGCACGTGCCCTTATTGGGAACCGAACCCGGGCCTCCCTGGTCTGCAGGCCGATGCTCTAACCACTGAGCAAAACTGGCCAGGGCTGGGTTTGTTTATTTTTTAACAAGAATTGTGGTAAAATGACTTTCTGGAGATTTTGTGTATTAAAATGCATTATTTTAATTGCCAAGAAGTTCATTTTCCTCAGTAAAAGTATGTGGATTACATTCCTTCTCCCTTTGGAAGGGAAGATAATTTGAGGACAGTATTGAAGTTGGTGAATGAATATTAGACTGAACACATTTAATATGCAGTTTGAGTCTATTACTATGAAAAAGATTATTTTAGGACAGAAAGCATTTGTTGGGCATATTAGTAACCTTTATTTTATTTTTTTAATCCTCACCCGAGAATATTTTTTCCATTCATCTTTAGATAGAGTGGAGGGAGGGGGGGGGAGAGAGAGAGAGAGAGAGAGAGAGAGAGAGAGATACAGAGAGAGATACATCATCACAAGAAACACATCGACTGGTTACCTCCCACATGACCCTGACCAGGGCTGGGGATGAACTGCAACTGAGGTACGTGCCCTTGGCCAAAATCAAACCCGTGACTCTTTGGTCCTCAGGCTGATGCTCTAACCACTGAGCAAAGCCGGCCAGTGCTAGACCTTTATCTTAATAAAGTTTCAAAAACAAAGTTCCAGGTAAAGTTTATTTTCCCTCTAAAAGTCTGAACCATGGCTAGATAAAGGGCATATTGAGTATGAAGAGAGCCTCAGAAGCTGGTTATCTGACAGTCACTTGAATAACTGCACCAGTGTTAAGTGGTGTTCAGCTGCCATCAGACAGCTGTTCATAAGAACCTTAAGGCAAATTAAAACACAGAGCGCATGAGAATGGTTGGACCTCATTGGCCTGGCTCTTCATGTGGAGTGGTCTGCTTTGAGGGATTTAAAAATTCTTGTTTGCACCCTGGCCCATGTGGCTCAGTTGGGACGTTGTCCCTTGCAATGAAAGGTGGCGGTTTCCATTTCTGGTCAGGGCACATACCCAGGTTGCAGGTTCTATCCCCAGTTAGGGTGCATATGGAAGGCAACCAGTCCCATTGATGTTTCTCTCTCGCCCCATCTTTTCCTCTTTCTAAAATCGATTTTTTAAAAATCCTTGTTTGTGAATATGATAAGAAATAATTTTATGTAGAATGGTTTCTGCTATGTCTGATGGTGAAATCTAGTTTATTTTGAATGTGAAGCTTTTAAAAAGGCTATAGAATTAAGTGTATTATATCAAAATTATATCTTGGGTGGATTTTTTCCATAAGCACACATATCTCCCCCAGATTGCATTCTCAAGTACAGATTTGTACGGTGAGTGTAGCATAAGTACATGCAAGATACAGCCATAGTGTCCAACTCTTCTCCTCGTCCCCCTGCGCCAGAGCATGTAAGATTGGCTTTCTTTGCAATTAAAAGCACATTTCTTTTTTTTTTTTTTTTTTATCCTCACCCGAGGATATTTTTCC